ACTGGCTGGAAAGAGATCCCTTGCACATGTGGATCATTTGCATATATTGCTATAGGAGTGTTTTGGTTTGTTTTTGTGGTCACAGTACACAGACACATTCATTTCTTACTGTAGTACTGTTTCTACAGGTCATCTAATTACCATGGCTGAATGTTACTAGAGAATGGGAAGTGTTAATATGCTTTGATACCTGTATATTGGTAACATTTAGTGTGGATAGGCTCTATGATAAGTGTCTTGTTTCCTTGACCTCATGGATAAATATCTATTTCTAAAAATGTGCAACAATGTTTAGGAGTTGAAATAGTGTGGACGTTGATTATACTACAGCATTGGCAATCTGATGGCAATTAAGTTGTTGATAGTAAATGAGTTTGGATAAACTATGTTACTTTTTGATCTGGCACAGGATGGTAGTTCTTTATTCTTATGTGTTATCTCTGTATCAGATTATTAGGATTTATGCTGTTTTTAATGTCACAGTGGTATGTGTATTCTTAAGAATAGTTAACCGGAAACATGCAGAATGGGAAGCAACTGCCTACACAATTTCTCTGCAGAAAAAGACCTAGAGATTATAGTTAGCTGTTAAATGAATCAACACTGTTAATCTGTGTTTTCCCCATATGGATTTTTTCACTTTTTTTTTTTTTTTTTTTTTTTTTTTACAAATTATAATAATAGCTTTCAAGGTGTAGATTCCTTTGGTTTGAAGTAGGGATAAGAATTCATATGGATTATTGTTGCCAGTTTTGATTCCTACATTACAGGAAAATATGGTTGGATTTAAAAATCTAGAGTGATGGGAGTGATTTGATAAGAAAACAACCCTCAAGGAAATATTAGCCTTACTGCAACCTTTTTATTCTGAGGAGAAAAACAATTGTCCGTGGTGGACAGGACAATGAAGAAATAGGATAGTGAAGCACTGAAATAGATTTCTTAGAAGAAAACTATGGAGTCTCTGTCACTGGGGACCTCTTAGAACAGGTTAGATAAACATGTCTGAATAATTTAGGTGAGTAACCCACTTCAGGCAGGAATAGATTAAATGACTTCCTAGAATAGGCTTGCAAGCCTAAATATTACTGTTATAAATGAGGTCTCAACTCAATCTGAATTTTGTAATATTTACAAAACAAATATTTCTAAAAGGTATAAAAGGCAAGTAAACAGCACTGGGTGTGCAAGGAGTCTCCACCAACAAGCACACACGAACATCAAGCATTCTAAATATACAGAACATTGCTTTACATACTAAACCCGAGTATGCCTATACATATGTACAATCAGGAAAGGTAACAAACAATCCTTTCAGTTCCATGACTTAACAGTCTCCATTTTCCATTCCTTTTGAACAGTAGGTCTCACTTTAAGTTGTCAAGCAACTCAGTCTTCAGGCCTTATGTATCCCGTTCTTCCCAGATTGAAGAAAAGCATATCCATCTACTTTTCAAGGCCAATAGGCCTGGGTCAAAAAGCACGTTCAGGTCAACAGGGGGCATAACAGCAAAAGCCTTCGATGGCTGTAGCAGCAGAGGCCGATGGCGTAGCAGTCGGATCAGTAAAGGAGCCCGCAGCTCCCTCGCTATCTGGCAAGCCACACGTTTGTGATTGTGGCCCCACATGCCTCTTTAAGGCCTCAGAGATTGCTTGCCAGGTGCCGAGCAATCCCACTGCAACCTTGTCATTTTTAGTTGCAGAGTCCCACACCTTGACCTCAGTTTGGTCCCATATTTCAGGATCATAAACTGTCCGATTGTTAATAAGGAGAATGAGCTGTAAGGTTACCAGGACAGTCTTTGTTCCTAAGGACGTATGATTCTCCATAATGCGCAGCTGCTTACCAGTGAGAGGCAGTTGTGTGCACGGGTCCGCTTCTCTCCAGCTCCAGTGCGCCTGTTTCCAGCGACTTTCTGTTTGAGCTTCTCTGAGCGGCTTGCTGAGTCTGGCCGAACCTATCTTCATGAGGCAATCAAAGTGCCTGTTCCCGTCCTGGTCTCCGTTCTGCTAGCCTGTTCCTTTTCACTTCTTTTTCCTGCTTCTTTATTGAAGACATAACTTCATCGTGTTGCCTTTTTCTCTCTTTTTTTTTTTTTTTTCCTTTTTCTTGAGGGCAGTTTCCCCTCTTATACCCTTCTCTCCACAGCAGTCCTTTTCAAAACAACTTTTCATTGGTCAAACAACTTTGAATGTAACAACAGCAAACACCCAGAAACATCCATGCCTTAACGGCTGGAGAACAAGAAAACAGAGACTGCATGGAGTCTCCTGAATCACCCTTCTTTGTTCCCTCTAAACTCTTATATTCCTGATGGCCTCGTCGTTAAGAGTCTGATGTTATCTCAACCACCGGGCTTTCCAATCCCCATGGCCACACTCCCAAATCTCCCCCTTCTTTATTAATATCAACCATTTCCTGGACAGGAATTACCACTCCATATATAACAATTACCAATGTAAAGGTTAACTTAGATGTTTCTCTAAGAACTGGAATTGTGTGATCAGACTTCTGACTGGGTGCTACCTGCTACCCAGGCGCAGACTTCTTACTTCTTGTGTCTTAGATGCATTATTTTGGTATCTCTCATCTCCTCCTACACTATAAATCCTTTCAATTAGGGACTTGCCTTCAGAGTATAATACAGTGGGGTTTTCCTTTGTTAGTCCTTCCTGTTATAAGATACTGATTTAATAATAAGTCATTTCAGGGTTAATATTTGGGGTTCCTGTATGGGAGCTGTACTGGGTTTGTGTGGCAACGTTTTGGTAGCAGGGGACTGCAGGGGTGGCCTCTGTGAGTAGAATCCACAAGTTGCCCCATGTTAGAGAAAGGGCCAAATTCAGCTAGCTCCAAAGGGACCCGTCACTGGCTAGAGTCGAGCCACACCTCTGTAAGAGCAGATTTAAGGGGGGGGGGGGGGGGAGGGAACTGCTGCGCAACAGCAGCTGGGAGAGTGAGGAGTGAGAAACAGCCCTGCAGACTTCAAGGTCAGTGAAAATGGATGGGGAGGAGGTGCTCCAGGTGACGGAGCTGAAGTTCCCCTGCAGCCTGCGGAGAGGACCATGGTGGAGCAGGCTGTCCCCCTGCAGCCCATGGTGTACCCAATGGTACAGACCCATATTTGGAGCAGTTCTTGAAGAGCTGCTGCCAATGGGAAGTCCATGCAGGATCAGTTCATGAAGGACGGCATCCCATGGGAGGGATCCCATGTTGGAGCAGGGGAAGAGAGTGACCGTGAAGGAGTGGCGGAGGTGAAGTACTATAGACTGACTGCAGCCCCCGTTCCCCTGTGCCACTCGAGGGGAGGAGGTCGAAGAGGGTGGATGGGGGAAGGTGGTTTTAGCTTTTCTTTGTTTCTTGCTTCTCTAGCTTGTTAGTAATAGACAATAAATTCCTCTAATCTTCCTTTGCTGAGTCTGTTTTGCTTGTGACGGTAATTGTTGAGCGATCTCTGTCCTTGTCTCAACCCTTGAGCCCTTTTTATAATATTTTCTCCCCCTTTCCCTTTGAGGAGGGGGGGAGAGAGAGCAGTTGTGGTAGAGCTCAGATGCCCAGCTGAGTAAAACCACCACAGGAGCTCACTAGGGTGTTTGGAATGAGATTATTTTAAAATAACGTTTACCATATTAATTTTAAAATGTTAAATATGTTGAACTTCAGGAGGGTTTCCTAACTGCCTAACATGGGAATAGAAATGTTGTTTTTGCAGAGTTAAATTGTTTAGAGGAAAGGAATGTGGTATTGAGATATGCTTACAGTGATAAGAAAGCTTAGCAGGTGACCTTTGTAAAATGCAGACCACCAGACTCCTTAGAGCAATTAGGTGAAAATCACTGTGTCAAGTCAGATAAGTGAAGAAACATTACCACTTCAAGCAGTAAAAATGTCAAAAGGAATTTGAAATTTAACAGGCTGGCAACTGAAGGCCATGCATTGTCTGTGAAGCATTGGATAGGATAGATTGTGAACCTGGATTACCCACTCAGTGGGGAAACAGGGGAGGGTCCTGCCATCAAAAGGTATATAAACTGTGTTTTGGAACTAGTAGGCGCGCTCTCCTGCTTGTGGGGTGCCCGCCATTGCAATCGTGAGTAAATTACTACTTCACTGAGATCCTCGCCTGAGTCAAGTTATTGGCTATGGAGTGTTTTTAACATCCTTTCAGAAACAGTCTACTGACTAGTCACATTGAATAAAGTGATGTTTTTCTTATCAAGTTATTTCTTAATGTTTTTCTTGAATATCTGCCTTTTCATGTTTTGTGAACTAATTACTTTTTCTATGAGAGTACTTCTCTGCAGAATAGTGAATCTCAGTCAAAATTCAATTGAAGCATAACCTGGTTATATTCCTGGTTAAGAATGCAGGAAGGGATACAATAGCTTACCAGGTTCCATTGTTTTAATGAGGGTATGATTTTAGCTGTCAGCTTAAATATGTGGCTATTCACCATGCCCTGGGCTGGAAGCACATTTCATGTAGCTGTCATGAGTTGGTGGCTCCACTCTCTCACCCAAAGAAGTAACCTTTGACTGTACAGAAAGGAATACTAGTTCTGATTCATGGAAGGCAGCAATATTATGTTCAAGAAGAAAGGGTACTGTTACTTTCAGTGCTAGCACAAATGTGACAAATTGTATCCTCACTATGCCAGCAACAGATAATATGTATTATTCAATATGCCAATAAAACTGTGTTATGGGTATGTGCTTGACTGCTCCACTTAAAGACTTCACTGTGGCTTCAAATTTTTGTTATTACCATCTATATAGTTAGTACTATAGATATGAAACACTTGGCTTCCTTTGTACAGAAAAAAGAATGATTTGATTTCTCTTTTGGACAAAAAAAAGCTGAGAACTTACTGAATTATTTCTAGGTTGTGTAAAGCAGAACATATAGCACAAGTGGATTAGTATAATAAATGTGAGCAACAGTTCTGTGAATTATTAAAAATGTGATAGTTCAGTATTCAATATAATAACTTTTTCTTTAGTTCAAGGAAGAAATTTCTAAGCGTTTCAAGTCCCACGCTGATCAACTTGTTCTGATATTTGCTGGAAAAATTTTAAAAGATCAAGATACTTTGATTCAGCATGGAATTCATGATGGACTCACTGTTCACCTGGTCATCAAAACACAAAACAGGTAACCTGAATTACGAGCGGTCTATTTACCTCTAAGAAATTAAAAATGTTCTTAATTATTGGTGTAATTGCTTTCTTTTGGACAAACCTAGATTTGACTACAGTACATTCAAAAGCAGTACAAATACTCTTGTTATGGAACAAGAGAGGCAACTCAAATTCTGTAAAGTTGTGGGGATAAGGCTAAGGATTCCTAAAACAAGATAAGGATTGAGGAAACAATTCATTGGCAGGCATTCTAGGCACAGGATGAAAAAGTGGTAATAGCTGTGGTGATGCCCATCAATTTAATTTTTTGAAAGTCCTGTTCTGAAAAAGCGATGACAGGACAGATGTCTGAGAATCATAGAATGGTTGAGGTTGGAAGGGGCCCTCTGGAGGTCATCTGGTCAAACTCCCATGCTCAAGCAGGGACACCTAGAAGCAGGTTGCCCAGAACCGTGTCCATGTGGCTTTTGAAGATCTCTAAGCAGGGAGACTAAACCTCTCTGGGCAGCCTGTTTCAGTGCTCAGTCACCTGCGCAGTAAAGAAGTGCTTCTTGATATTGAGACAAAACCTCGTGTATTTCACTTTGTACCTGTTGTCTCTTATCCTGTTGCTGGGCACCACTGAAAAGAGCCTGGCTCTGTCTTCTTCATTTTACCTTCCCTTCATGTATTTATAGATATTGTTCCCCATGAGCTGCTTCTACTCCAGGTTAAACAGTCCCAGCTCTCTCTGCCCTTCCAGTCCCTTGATCAGCTTGGTAGCCTGGACTTTTTCCTGTAACTCTGTCTCTCGTGTGTTGGGGGACCCTGAATTCCATGCACTATTCCAGGTGTGGCCTCACTGGCCTTGAGTAGAGGGGAAGGATCGCCTCCCTTGACCTGCTGGCAATGCATCACTTAATATGTCCCAGGATACCATTAGCCTTCTTAGCAGCAAGGGCACATTGCAGACTCGTGTTCAACTTGTCCATCAGAACCCCGAGATCCTTTTCTGGCAGGCTGCTTTCCAGCTGGGTGGTCCCCAAGCATGTGCTGGTGCCTGGGGTTGTTCCTCCACAGGTGCAGGACTTTCAACTTCCCATTGTTGAAACTCCTGAGGTTTGTGTCAGCCTAATTCTCCAGAATGTTTGGTCCCTCTAGATGGCAGCATGACCCTTAGCATATCAGCTGCTCCCTTTGGTTTCATATCATCCTTGAGTTTACTGAGTGCATAGTCTACCCCATGGTCCAGATCATTAATGAAGATGTTGAACAGTAACAGTACTGGACCCAGTATTTACCTCTGGGATACACCACTATTTACTGACCTCCAACTAGACAAGGTTCCATTTATAACAACCCTCCGGACCTGGTGATTTGGCCAGTTTTTAACTGACTTTGCTGCCTGTCCATCAACAGCTTCTTTACGAGGATCTTATGGAAGATATTGTCAAAGACCTTCCTGAAGTCCGAGAAGGCAATATCCATTGCTCTTTCCTCATCCTACAGGCTGGTTATTTCATTACAGAAGCTTATCAAGTTGGTCAAGCAGGACTTGACTATCAAGTAGGACTTGACTTCAGTGAATTCATGCTAATTATTCCTGATGATTTTTTTTCCTCTTTCACGTGCCTGGAAATGGTTTCCAGGATGAGCTATTCTATCACCTTCCCAGGTATTGAGATGAAGCTGACTGGCCTGTAGTTCATTGGGTCCTCCTCCTTGCCTTTCTTGAAGATAGGAGCAACGTTTGCTTTCATCTAGTCCTTGGGCACTTCTCCCAATCACCACAATTGATCAAAGATGATTGACAGTAGCCTTGCAATACCATCTACCAGCTCCCTCAGCACTTATGGATGCATCCCCATGGACTTATGTCCAGTTTGCTCAATTATTCCCTGACCTGACATTTTTCCACCAACAGTACATCTTCCTTGTTCCTGACCTTTACCCCTGGTTTCTGGGACCTGGGATTCCTGAAGGCCAGTTTTGCTGAATACTTTCTCATCAGTCTATATCAATGCTTCATTCTTTTCCTTGTCTTGTCATTACATTGTTTCTCTATTAAATGGCGTTGTTTATTTTGTGTACTGGGTCTGGCTGGGATGGAGTTAACTTTCTTCATAGCAGTAGTGCTGCTTTGGATTTTTGACCAAAATAGTGTTGATAATGCACCAATTTTATTTATTTTTACTCTTGCTGAACAGTGCTTACATAGTACACGGTATCACTGTCTTCTGTTTCTCACTCTGTCCCGTGTGCCCCCCCTCCCCCCGTAGGCTAGGAGTGGACAAGAGGTAGGAATACTTACTTGTCCAACTTGTAATCTTTTAACTTCTCTCTCCCTCAGATCACAAGATCACCCAGCTCAACAAACGCATGCTACTGGAAGTACTGCTACTGCATCAATATCAAGCAGTAATACCTCAACATCAACTTCAACAAATAGTAACTCTTTTGGCTTGGGTAAGAATGTTAGGTAACATGGTGGGTATCTTGAGTACCTTGATTTCAGGTAATAATCCTGTTTACATTTGAATGTAGCTCCAGGGCTTAAATAAATAAATAAAAATTACCAGTTACAAAAATTTTTGGTATTGGCTGTAAAAGGTTTCTTACCAATAAGTTATAAGGGAAGTTGTTTCCTTATTTTTTATATACAGAACTTCAGGCTTGTGATGTTTCATCTTCAGGTGCCACTGATGATGTATTCTGATAGTAAAAGTAATTAACTCCTTCTAGTCTCCAGAATAAACAGTTTTCCAGATTTACTATTACCTTCTAAAAATGTGGAACTTCTTTGTGTGCTGAGCTCTGCAAAGGAGAACTTAAAACATTATTAGTTCTTGGTACATCGGCAAAAAGAACTCTGCTTTTTGTTTAGGATAGGAAGTATGCATCATATTATGAGATCTCTGTTGGTGGTCTGTCCCTTCTTGGTGGTCAGGCTATAAATGATTTATTAAAAATGTATTGGAAAGTGTTGGGAAATAACCCAAGGCCCTAAAACTCAAGTATCCCTTGTATCTTAGCTATAGTAAAGTAGAATAAAAGCTGTTAGATTTGTAACAACTTATATTTCAGGTGAGGTTTGGGTTTTTAGATGTCTTGTTATGTAATGAAGTAACCTCTTTGTGGATGACTCCTTAACATCATTGCAAAGATGGAATTTCCATTGGTTTTCATTATTTTAAAGTGTGGGATATGTTTACATATTTAGAAAGAACCTGGATGTGTTTAGAAGTATACTAGAAACTGAAAGCTATGATCATATTTTTTCCTTCCTCTTAAAGGTGGTCTTGGAAGTTTGGCAAGTCTGAGTAGCCTGGGTTTAAATGTATCAAACTTTTCAGAGCTGCAAAGTCAGATGCAACAACAACTGATGTCGAACCCAGAAGTGATGGTTCAGATAATGGAAAATCCATTTGTTCAGAGTATGCTTTCAAGTCCTGACCTGATGAGACAGTTAATTATGGCTAACCCTCAAATGCAGCAACTGATACAGAGAAATCCAGAAATCAGTCATATGCTAAATAATCCAGATATAATGAGGCAGGTATGTAGAAAGAACTATTAAGTTCATGACTTTGATTATACTGTAACTGTGAACAAAAGAGCAAAATTGGCTATGCTTAGATGAGTGCTGAAATATCGTTTAAGAATTTAGGCTTGTTAGTGATCTTTTACAAACTTTCTATAGGAAATGTTTTTATTTTTAGTTGCTTGTGTCTGTAATAGGCTGATAACTCAGAAGAATTACAGCATAGTTTTGAAAGATGCTAAAAACCATATAATCATATCTTTTGAGTTTAGAATTGAATGACACTTGAAATCTTCTGTTATTCATCCAACAGTGAGTTTACCAAAAGTAATAATTCTCAAAGAAAAAAAAAAGCTTATTTCCAGTTTATTTAGAAGCAGTTGGGACTACGCAGTTAAAAATCACGTAATGTAAGCTATGTCTTATGTGGCAGAGGGCATCAGGAAACAAAATGGAGGATTTTGAAAATAAAGGAATTGATTTTATCAAGTTCATGTTGTGAGAAAAATCTCAATTTTCTTCAGGCAGGATCTTCTGTGAAGCTGTTTTATTCGCGATTGCAATGGCAGGCGTCCTGTCAATCAGGAGCGAATTTTATTAAACAAATCATAACCTTATATTCCCTATTACCCAATGCTTGATCACCTCCCCTCTTTCCTCATTGGCTGAGTACTACAGATTCACAAGCTACTTGACGCTCCTCTATACCATATATGTACAATTTTTCTATTTTTTCAACCCTTTAATTTCTCCTTTCTTATATTTTGACAACTTGTGTTCATTGTTTTACTGTTCTCACGCTGCTCATCCTGTTTTTCTCAACCTACCTTATTTTAGAACAGTGAGGCCTTCTACCATCTGCTTATCTACTTAGCATTTCTCCTTATTCTGACTACACAACTACCTTGGAATACAGAAAAATAATTCTCTACTGCAAAAACACAACTTATTTTCTCACAATGTTATAAGATGAATGCTGTACCGAAGTTAGAAATGGTAAGAGTATATTGTGCTCAAACAGAGAAGAGAGAAGAAAGAACAGGATGGTACATTCAAGTTTTTTCCCTGCTTTTTTTCAATGCTCTCTGACTCAACTAGCATACTGGTAGCTGTAACAGAAGTTTGACTAAATATCAAATACCACTGACTCCCGCTAAGATGACATCTGGTTTTGGCTTCAATCCTAATTTGAAACAGTTAGAAATTAGTAACTGACATACTGTTAAATGCTGATGTCTCCACTTTAGAATGTGTGCTGGATTTGGCTGGGATAGTTAATTTTCTTCATAGTAGCTTGCATGGTGTTATGTTTTGGATTTGTAATGATTTTTTTTTTTAAAGGAAATTAAAGGTGCACAAGTCCATGGGACTTGATGAGATGCATCCATGGGTCCTGAGGGAATTGGCGGATGTAGTTGCTAAGACACTATCCATCATATGTGAGAAGTTGTGGCAGTCCAATAAATTGGAAGAGGGGAAACCCCCATTTTTAAAAAGGGGGGAAAAAAAGGAAGACCCGGGGAACTACAGGCCAGTCGGTCTCACCTCTGTGCCTTGCAAAATCGTGGAGCAGATCCGTATGGAAACTATGCTAAGGCATGTGGAAAGCAGGGAGATGATTAGTAACAGCCAACATGGCTTCACTAAGGGAAGATGGTGCCAGACAAATCTGGTGGCTTCCTACAGTGGAGTTACAGCATTGGTAGATAGGGGAAGAGCAACTGACATCGTCTACCTGGACTTGTGCAAAGCATTTGACGCTGTCCCCCATGATATCCTTGTCTCTGAATTGGAGAGACATGGATTTGATGGATGGACCGCTTGAAGTGTAAGGAATTGGCTGGATGGTCGCACTCAAACAGTTGTGGTCAGTGGTTCAGTGTCCCGGTGGAGATCAGTAATGAATGGTGTCCCTCAGGGGTCAGTGTTGGGTCTGGCACTGTTTAACATCTTTGTTGGTGACAATGGACAGTGAAATTGAGTGTACCCTTAGCAACTTTGCTGATGACACCAAGCTGTGTGGTGCAGTTGACATTCTGGAGGGAAGGGATGCCATTCAGAGGGACCTTGGTGGGCTTGAGAGGTGGACCTGTGCAAACATCATGGAGTTCAACAAGGCCAAGTGTGAGGTCCTGCATCTGGGCTGGGTCAATACCAAGCACAAATAGAGGTTGGGCAATGAGTGGATTGAGAACAACCCTGCGGAAAAGGACCTGGGGGTGTTGGTGGATGAGAAGCTCAACATGAACTGGCAATGTATGCTTGTGGGCCCAGAAAGCCAGCCGTATCCTGGGCCGCATCAAAATAAGCGTGGCCATCAAGTTGAGGGAGGTGATTCTCCTTCTCTACTCTGCTCTCGTGAGACCCCACCTGGAGTACTGTGCTCAGCTCTGGGGCCTCCAGCACAAGAAGGACATGGAAGTATTAGAATGACTCCAGAGGAGGATCATAAAGATGATCAAGGGGCGAGAACACCTCTCCTACAAAGACGGGCTGAAGGAGCTGGGGTTGTTCAGCCTGGAGAACAGAAGGCTCCAGGGAGACCTTACAAAAACCTTCCAATACCTAAAGGGGGTCTATAGGAAAGCTGGGGAGGGCTTCTTTGTCAGGGAGTGTAGTGATAGGACAAGAAGTAATGGCTTTAAACTAAAAAAGGGTAGATTTAAATTAGATGTTAGGAAGAAGTTCTTTGCTGTGAGGGTGGATGAGGTATTGGAACAGGTTGCCTAGAGAAGTTGTGGATGCCCCATCACTAGAAGTGTTCACGGCCAGTTTGGATGGGGTTTTGAGATGCCTGGTCTAGTGGGAGGTGTCCCTGCCCACGGCAGGTGGGTTGGAACTAGATCTTAAAGGTCCCTTCCAACCCAAACCATTCTGTGATTCTATGAAAACAGAGCTGATAACACACCAGTGTTTTAGCTGTTGCTGAGCAGCCATTTCACAGAGTCAAGCTCAGTTCTGTTTCTCAAACTGCGTGCTAGTGAGTAGGCCAGGGGTGCACAAGAAGCTGTGAGGGAAATGCAACCAGGACAGGTGACCCAAACTGGCCAAAGAGATATTCCATACCATATGACATCATGTTCAACTGGGGGGAGTTGGCCGGAGGGGTCTTCTGTTGCTTGGGGTGTGGCATCAGTTGGCTGGTGGTGAGCAATTGCATTGCACATTACTTGTTTGTTTTTTCCCTTTGGCTCTGTTTTTGTTTTTAACTTATTAAATTGTCTTTATCTCAACCCACAAGATTTTTGTTTTTTTGTTTTGTGTGTGGGTGTGTGTTTTCTTTTGTTTGTTTTTTTTTTTTTTTAAACTTTTGCACTTCAGATTCTGTTCCCCTCTATCCTGCTGCAGGGGGGAAGTGAGTGAGCAGCTATGTGGTGCTTAGCTGCCTTCCAGGGTTAAAACACAAAAGAATGAATTTTCTTGTATTGATACAAGTTAAATGTTCTACTTCCTTAGACACTAGAACTTGCTAGAAACCCTGCAATGATGCAGGAAATGATGCGAAATCAAGACCGAGCCTTGAGCAACCTCGAAAGTATACCAGGTGGCTACAATGCCTTGCGACGTATGTACACGGATATTCAAGAGCCAATGTTGAATGCAGCACAGGAACAGGTGAGAAATGATTGCAAGGACCATTGAAGGATTTTTATTTTTTTAATATTTATTTTAATTTATTTTTTATTTTTAATTCTTGGAATTATAAAATTCTGAGGTCTATGAAGGGTGTGTTTAGTAACTTGCAACTTAAGGTAGGAAGAAAAAGGCTTAGAAACAAATTTCCAAGTTGGAAACCACTATGCAAGATATAATCTTGCTGTGATCTAAGTACTAACATAGTAACTGCTGCTTTTAAAATTAAGTGTGATTAACTTTTTTGCTGGAGTTGATATCTCTTTCTATGTTGGCATTTTTTCAGAATATTTACACTGGCTTATTTTAGGATGGTGAGTATAGTTGATCAAGAGCCATCAACATTTGTTTTCATATGTAATTTTGGAAAGGTAACTTGCTGTTTCTAGCAGTATTACAAGTAGGTGACTTTAATAGTTTATATGTTTGTTTCTCCTTTCTCTGTAGTTTGGAGGTAACCCATTTGCTTCCTTAGTAAGCAATGTATCATCTGGAGGGGACATTCAGCCATCTCGTACAGAAAATAGAGATCCTTTACCAAATCCCTGGGCTCCTCAGTCCAGCTCTCAGAGTTCCACGACTGCCAGCACCAGTGGTGAGAGCAGTGGCGGTAGTAACGTTGGAAATAGCACCTCTGCCAGTATGAGACAGAGCTCAACCATACCAAATTTGGGACCTGGACTAGGAGGTGTGTCTGTTAATGCAATTCTATGTGTTTGTACATATTAAGGAGTTTGCTGAAATGATTGCTTTATTAGAGATGTTTTGATTTAAAGTTTGTATTGATATTTATTTTCACAAAACATTTGATTAATGTCAAAGTCTTCTGTAGAAAAGCAAACATGAGAAATAAATGAAGAGTATTAACAATACTCGTGTACTCTTAAGTAGGGAATCTGTAGATGAATGCTATTATTTTTCCTGGATGGAGACAAACAGGAAAACAACTAATAATGTAGATACTTAGTGGAACTGCTTGTTGGATACAGCCTCTGGCTTCAATTTGTTTCTAGGGCAAATGCATCTGCATAAGGAAAACCACATTGAAATGTATTTAATGGGCTAAAGCTCATAATAAAAAACAAAAAAAAACAAAAACAAACAAAAAAAAACAGTTGTATCTCGGTTTTAGGCAGTCTGATTCATTTGATTATAGTCAGGATGTTTATTAAATTGACCTTCTGCTTTTTTTTTTAAAGTTGGTATGTTCAACACACCAGGAATACAGAGTTTGTTACAGCAGATAACAGAAAATCCACAACTTATGCAAAATATGTTGTCTGCACCCTATATGAGAAGCATGATGCAGTCATTAAGCCAGAATCCTGATCTTGCAGCACAGGTAAATGCTTCTGGTGTAGCAGTGTGTTGTGTGCATTGAAGCAAAAAAAAAAAAAGTAATTGACTTTTTGATACAGTTTTATTTTCACAAGAGTGATAGTGTAAACTTCCCAATGATTACTTGTCTGTTGTGAATGGCCCAGTCAATGCCAGACTAATTGAAATTATTACCTGGTTACCTTTAACAATCTGTTGTACTAAACTTCTTCATTTGTAGTTGGACATCATGCCAAACACTCTTCTGAAACAGCTTGTAAATTTGTGTATGTTTCATACAGCCCTAAACTTCTGTGGCCTAGCATGAAACCTAGTTATACAAAACAAATGCTTTGATCATAAATTAAGGTAGATCTGTTAGTAAATAAATACCCACCCTAGCTTGGGAGGACAGAAATGGAGGGGAAGGAGTTGTTGCCATATCTAGTTGTTATTCTGATTTTCATTTCTCATCTGTGACCCTTGCTCACTATAAAAGTGGTGATACTTACTGCTGTTTTATGAATGGTATTGTGCTTTCAAATTTTATAGTGCTTTCAAATTTTCCTTAGAGCAGTAAAAGTCAAATCTTGAACTAAGATTAAAAAAAAAAAATAAATCTCTTTTGTATATTACACACTAGGAAAAATCCCTTGCTTTTTGCAGATGATGTTTACAGGGAAAACATTGTCTGTACTGGGGCCTGACCAGAGAAGGCTTTCCTTGTAGCTTAAATGAGGTTGCTTTGGCAAGGATCTAGCATTCACTTTAAAAATCTTAAAAAAAAAAAAAAAATCTGATGATTTCAGTTAGTCTTCAAGCTTGTGGTTCATTGTTTCATAACAAGTTTTGACCAAAGAAGTAGTAGGAGATAATGAGATTATTTTCATAGACTATTATCTTGTTCTCTGATTCATGTGTAGTAAATACTTGTCTTAAAATCCACTCTAGTACTTACTCTTTGATCTACTGTTTGAAAAGTTAAATATTTTTGTACTGTAGATGATGTTGAATAATCCTTTATTTGCTGGAAATCCTCAACTTCAGGAACAAATGAGACAACAACTTCATACTTACCTACAACAAGTAAGATGAAATACTACCTGTTGTTAGTAAATGTCTGCAATTCACAAGCAATTTTTGCAGTAAACTGGTGCCTTTCCTTGATTTCACTCAAAGCTAGATTGTTGCATATGGTTCTCATTAGCTTTAGACGCTAAGTTGCATTGTCCCCTGATAATTAAATGCTTGATTTATTTCCTCATCCCTTTCAAGTTAAGCCTGACTTTTTTAGTGGATGATTTTCTGTGATTAGCACAACTACTTTGATCTGCTCTTGTGCCTTTGCTTAAAAAGACTTGTTCTTACTGCACACCAGCTAGAGAATACTTCTGTTTGCTACATAATTTGTTTTGCTACTAAGGTAAGTCTTACCTGTGCTTTTCTCATGCCTTCTCCATCCTGACCTAAAAATTTTGGGGTAAAAAAGACCTTATGGCATGCCTTGAAAGAGACAAATTGTGAGTTAATTCAAAAGAAGCAGAGTGGGTTCTGAAGATATTTGCCTGTAAAGATTGTCCTACCACCAGCTTCTCCTCTTACATCATTGTGGTTTCAGCCCCAGTATCTGCTTGACTTCAGTTGTCACAGTGTATATGAGGGCTGTGTCCTCTAAATAAGAGTTAACAACATTTTTTAGGAATTGAAAATGTAACTCTGCATGAGTTCCATCATTAGGCAGTCCTTGCAAATCAAAGTAAATGTGTGTTGACAGGATCTTATTGCAGGTAGGCAGTGTTATGAGTAAAATAAATAATAATAACATAAATTACAGTAGCAAGTTCAGTGTTAAGAAGCAACTGTTTACGTTGCTTTAATGACATGAATGGCTGTAGCATTTCATAGTGCTACTGCTTTGTGATGACTCAGTAGTGCCTGAAGAGCTAATATCACATTTATATTTCGAAATATGTGAATAAATGCTGATTAATATATCATGAAGAGGCAGCAGGAATTCTTTGTTTCTTTTTGGTAAATCTTTACATCAATATCGCCTTGGGATTTATCTGCACAGCTAGTATTCTTTGGTGTCTTCTCCATGTTATATCAGATGATCAACAACATTAATAGAGGAAGTAAACTAGAGAACTACCTGTGTGTTCTCCGAATGCTGACAGCATTGCAGCCCATACTTCCATCACTCATCTGTTTGTATTATATTATGGGATTGGGTGACGGAAGCCATGAAATGTTCCTCTGTATAATTGAAAGCACTTATTGCAATAAAGGTTGCTCGGCACAACTAGGAAAATGCATATGAGCTACTCAGTCTACTCCTTTTACATGATTTTTAGATAGATTAATAACATTAATAGAGATCCAAGTCACCTAAGTGCTCAAAGAATCATTGGGTCACGATTTTCTTTAAAGCAACTCCACATATCAGACAGTAAGTCATGGCTTAACGGTTATTTTCGTGAATAAGGTAACCACAGCAGCTTGCTTCAGCAAACCTAAAGTGTATTCTTCCTTTAAAGGTTTGGATTAACTTTACTAGCTATACGTTTATTTATTATCCTCTGACTTTTAGCTATCAGGAAGAGACAGGAAGAATCTGAAAGACAAGTTGTTTAAAAACTTGCTGTGCTCTGGTCTCATTACATACCCATATTTCAGGATGGAATCAGTGTTTGATCTCTGTACCCTATTCTACTATTCTGTTTTGAGAAAAATTAACATTAATCTGTGCAGTTCATTGTGAATCAAAAAATTTTTTTGCAGCAGAAGGAATTTGGTTTAGTTACTAAGTGAAGGCTGATGAAATTAATCAGCCTGTCTGGTATTTGAAGCAGGTCTGGCTACTAAGACTGCCTCACTTATGACTGAAACAAATAACTTTTCACTGCAAGTGGCATCTCTAAGCAGAGGTGAGCGTAACCCAGTAGTTTTGGTTTTGTATCTAAAATAGTCCAATTTTGGGACATCTAATTTCAGATGTCAGAAGGATTTGTCTTTTAGATCATCTGTGGATGCGAAAGATGGTTTTTAGCTGAATTTTTAGTAGAGTGAAGGTCTTAGAACATTATATGTTTGCTAGTATGTTTTGCAGAGTGTTCGCGTGTCTGTAGGCAGTAATGCTGCTACAAATATGAACAGGTGCACAAATTATCATGGTCAAACTGTTGTGGTCTAAATTTAGCTAGAAAAAGATGTTTTATAACTTTGTATTAGATACCTACTAGTCAAGTTTTGTTGTATTCATCCTTGTTGCTTATCGGTATTATGATATGAAAACCAATTTTAAAATTATGTTGGACTAATACACTCCTATAGCTTTAGAAGATGGTAAAGTCTACTAGAAGGGGTAATGAGAAATACTTCTGTTTATGTACTCCTTATTTCAAAGGAGTCTGGAGAGCTCATCGATCATTTCCTGTGAAAATTTTCTCAAAAAAGAAAAATATCTGAAGGACTTCATGTAACTAAAGTTGAGAAACAGCAAGTTCTGAAAGGATGTCAAATTCTATATAACGTCTAGTGATAAAGATTAACTTTGAACGTCTATATATTTTTAAATTTGTGAGTTTCTCTCTTGTTCTTAGATGCAGAGTCCTGACACATTATCAGCTATGTCAAACTCTAGAGCAATGCAAGCTTTGCTACAGATTCAGCAGGGCTTGCAGACGCTAGCAACAGAAGCACCAGGACTTATACCAGGGTAAGAATTGATCATACAAATTTATACAAGAACTTTTTTCTTGTGGTTTTTTTTTTTCATTTTTTTTATCTTTTTTATAAAATGTGTAGAGGTTTATCCAGTTTTAGAGACTATTCCTCTTGCATTTTTTTAGTTTCGTTAAACTTGTTTTAGAATCTGTCACACTTCTGTTTGCAATGCGCTTTCTAGCAATGATGGCCATGGTCTTTGTCTTGGTGCTTTACTTCAGTTGTCATCCACTCTTTATTTGACAAGATTTTTACTCAGTAATTGGATACAATGGGAAGAAACATTACAAGTAAGCTATTCTCTATATTTTTGATGTATTTCTCTGTCACTTGTGCAGATTTAATCCTGGTTTAGGTGGATTTGGAAGCACTGGAGTTCCTACAGGCTCCACTGTACCTAGTTCTATTCCCAGTGAAAACACTAGTCTAGCATCAGGGGCCATTGAACCTGGTCACCAACAGTTTGTCCAGCAAATGTTGCAGGCGCTTGCTGGTGCAAATGTTCAGGTAAGTAGATTTACTATATTCTAGTGTGTGTGTTTTTGGGGGTGTGGGATGTTTTTTTGTTGTTGTTTGGTTGGTTTTGCTTTTAATCCCTCCCCTGTGTGCGCCACCATAATACTTCTGGTCAAAGGAGAACAGAGGAAGTTTAAAAGTGGTGTTGTAGCTGTGCAAATAAATGCTGGAAAAAATATCAAATTTGAGTAAAAACGTCCTCTGAACGGTTGATTGTTGTACACTTATCTTCATACCCTTGAGTTTCTGAAATGCCTGGAAAGAAGCAAATTAAGGTGTTAAGGGAAGACTGGTTCACTGGTGAGTGAAACATGGGCTCAGACAAGAAAATAATGTAAGTGTACTGAACTCCATTATCTCTGTGCTTTATATCTGTGTTTCTGGTTGTTACTCTGTAGCTGTGACAGACTCTGTCCCACTCTTCAGAATAGCCACACTCAGGTTATTTGGGGTCTGAATTTGTAGCTTGCTTCCCTGACATCCTGCAGGTCAAGACTGCACAGTGTGTACATTGTGTTAATGTACCAAGTGGAGTTCAGGCTTTCCAGAGGACTCCAGAAGTTGACTAAAGGTGACAGCTTTGCAGGTAGCTGTAAGGTGGTAAGACTAGTTTTAAAGAGGGCATTCCCATAACAATGAAGTAGTATCTTAAGAGTGCTGTCTGTGTGAAACAGCATCCTTAGTTACACTGTGGTACATATCCAGTGTAATGGTAGACTGCTGGTGAAAGAAACGTTCCTGCTCTTGCCTCTTCTGTTGCCTTAGGCTGAAGTTTTTCTAACTAGAATTTTGGTAAATTTAGTCAATAAATAATTGGAGCATTAAAGAGGTATTTTTTATGTCAAGAAAAATAAAATAGCATACAGCATTCACTGTTGCCAACGCTGAAATCACCAAAATCCTACTGTCACTAGATGGGACTGGTTTAATTTTAAAACAAACAAAACCTGCACACGTCTTTAAGAAACCGTTCTCAGGATATACTTTTACCAGACCTAATTTTTGTTCCTCTTTTGTCAAACAAGTAGATGTCCTTATAGTTCAAAAATGTCATGTAAGTATAGATACTCTTAAAATTTGAAGCTAGTCTGATTTGTTCAATCAATAATTCAGTTGTGAATTGAATTTGTCATGGTCTAGTTTGGGGATCTTGAGAAAGATGCATTCAGAAATTGTTATTAAAGATGAGGAGTGGTTCAGAACCAACTATGTACTTTGTCAAATGTGTATTATACTTTTATAGCTTTAAATTTTTCTTCTTAGCAGTTACAAAATCCAGAAGTTAGATTTCAGCAACAACTGGAGCAGCTGAATGCAATGGGCTTTTTGAACCATGAAGCAAATTTACAAGCTCTAATAGCAACAGGAGGAGATATCAGTGCAGCTATTGAAAGGCTGCTTGGCTCTCAGCCTTCATAGCAGCATTTCTTTAATTTGAAAAAAATAATAATAATTTATTTTTGATAACTGCTCTTAAATCTTTAAAATAGTTGCTTTATTTCATTCTGACTCTTGGGATTTTCTTGTTATAACTAAAATCAGTTATGTATTTTTAAGGTAAAATACAGTAGTTTTCTTCAAATGGGGAATTGATGTGTTTTCACTTGATTGTTGCATGCATCACTTTGTTCTGCATTACTGTTAATTTTTCAAACTATCAGCTTTCATGGTTGGTTGAGCAGGTTTTGTTTGACTTGCATCTGTCCAATTTTTTTTAGTACTAAACCATTAGCCTTCAGTAGTAATTTATGCAAGATACAAATTAAAAAGGAAACAATTGAAGCTATAATTTGTGGATACCAATGCTGCTTATGATTATTTCAGCATGTATTTTTTTCTAGCAAAATTCTGCAAGATTTATACCACTTGAGTACCATTTTTGCTTTTATTTGTGTAAAGTATAAATATAACATACAATGGATACAGCTCATTTCTAGAAATTTACATGTTACAATAGAATGGAATTATAAATAACCAAACAAGGACAGGAGAAAAAAAAAGTATGACATGGTTTTTAGAGTAGAATCTTCCAGCATCTTGGTAAACATCTCAGAAAAAATGCTTGGGCAAGTTTGTTTAAAATATACTAGAATTGCTGTTCTAGTGGTATCTTATGTTCTAGTGGTATCTTTACATCTAACTGTAAAGAAACTTGCATTGTAACATTCTCATTGAAAAAATGTTACGGATTACATTACCTTTCTGCAAATTAACAGAGAACTGCCTTTTGCTCTGAAACTGCTTCTAAGGTTGTTTTTTTTTATTTTTTCCACTGAGATTCTAAAGTATTATGATTTGTAACTGGAAACATTACTTTCAGTACTGTCATGCTGTCATGTGATATTCTAATTACTTCTAACCACCATATGAAAAATACTGTACATCTTATTTTTTATTGGTAGTTACCTCTTGCGCACAGGTAATAAATGAATTTAAAAGTATTTAAGCATATTGTTTTGATGTGTGCAATTGGTGATTATCTGGCATTCAAGGTGACTGATGAGCTTAATATAGTTGTCATTTGAGTGTTAGCTCTGGGAATATTTACAGACTGGGTTGAGATTAGCAAGCAGTACTTGGAGTATGAAGTGGAGGGCAGAGAAGAATATGATATTGAAGACTTTTTTTTTTAGGTAAAGTGGAGGTAGTGAAATAAAGCATTCTGTTGTGTGTTACTGAATGGGATTTGCTTTTTATTGGTCTTTGGTGTCAGTGTAATTGTGATCATTCTGATTTATTTCCTGTATTGCATTAAACACTTAATCTGAACAAACTTTTCTTTTGGTACAAATATAAATCCAGTTTGCTCTAAAAAACATTGTCTGCAAATTGTTTACTGGTCTTTGGCTCAAAGTTGTTAATAAGTGAAATGAAGTATTAGTTTTAACTAATAACTGAAGTATTACAATAGTAAATTATTGTTTCTTTATATTCTAATGGAATATAAAGGAGGGTGTTAAGCATGCTTTCTTCTCCATACAGTTAAGTTATTAAAACTCTTGGCAAAGCCAAGCATGCAGATTTTTCAGGAAGCAATTGTGCTGCATTCTTCTCTCAGAAGTTTGTCTGTCCAGTAACCTTGTTTCTTCAGCAATAATTGATCAAATGCTGCTGATGTTTTTTGGGTAAAGTTTAAAAAAAAAACAAACAAAAAAAAACACTCAGTTGTCAGGTGTCTGGATCAAAGTCTCATACATACAGCAACAAAGAATATTAAACACAACTGAATTAAAATAGAATCTCCTGGTGATTTGAGTTTTATATAGTCAAAACCTTTTAAAATACTTAGTTCGGGTGGGAAATTATTACTTTTGTTTCTTAGCCAATGATAGTAAACGTGCAAGGACCTTCACAGTGCCTTCTTTTTGGGTAGGTAGCTTTCATTGTACTGGGTACAAAGGCTGTGATAGGGAAGTAATAGCAAGTATCTGTAGATAAATCACAATTTTTTCACAGTTACTTTCATAGTTACACTTAAGATCTTTGAAGTAACTAATCTGACTTGACCTTATAGTATGCCTTATAGGAACTTTGCTTTAAAACAGTAAGATCTCCAGTCATTCAGAAGGCATATCCTTCTAAAAATATAATCTGTAACTTGTGAAAAGGCCGCTGTCAAATTGAAAGGGCAAGGCTGAGATATGGAAGGGAGTGATTTTTGCCAAGCTTTACTATGATACTAAAGCACTTAATCTGTTTTACATGAGCATTCTTTTGAGACAATATCTAGTTCATCTATGTAATTAAAACAGAGATATGCTATTTTAAGTCAAATTGTTACAATTTAAGAAAAAAGTGGTTTAACCTAAATTGTACGATGAACCCTTGAGCTAAGCTTACTTCTTGTACAATCAATGTTTAACTATGTCACTAATTTAACTATGTACTTATTGTCAACTAGTAATGACAATTAGTAATTGAGTAGCGGTAAAACATTGAAACATCGTTAGTGTGGGAGGAATTTTGGTTTTGTTGGAAAAGACTTTCACTGTTAAAAGTGGCAGTAGGTGGAATATGGTTTGTAGTAGGAGTAAAATTTTATTAAGTCTTTAATAATAAATGATGCATCACACTTGTTGGTTTAATGGCATAATAGAGTAAGCAATCATCAAGATTCTACCTCCTGCCCCATCACACTAGGCTTTTAGGCGCTCACTTTTGAAAATGTCTGATTTCTTTTTGGGTATGAGGGCTTGAAATTTAATATTACTGCTTGATAATCTCTCATGCAGCTGCTTTCCTATCACTGTGTAGTTTCCTGAATTATTTAGTTTTCTTGTGTCTGAAAAAAAAAAAAAAGCAAGCATAAATCTGCATTTAATAGTGGACATTTTAGAAAAGCTCTTTGTAAAATTGTGTATTGGGAAAATTATGAAGATTTCATTAAAAGCAAAGGTACCACAAGAGGGTGCCATTTCTTTAATTTTCATAGTGACTAAACTAGCATGGCAACAATAATAAAAAAAAATCTATATACAGCTGTACATGGGGACAATTCTATTCATGTAGAATCTTTCTTACACAAATCATTTGCAGCTTTTTCATAAAGTTAGGCTGAAGAGGCATCTATTGTGTATTAGGGAATAAAGAGCTTTTTAAAGAAGATATTAACGTTAAATTCTGTGAGTTGTGTAACTGACTATATTCAGGATTCTGATCACAGAAAGCAAAATATGTATTCAAAATAGTTTGATCTTGTGTTTTAAAGCGTGAATGATGTGTTGGTCAGCTGATTTAAATCTCTAAAAATAAACATTCCTAAAAAAAGAATCCAGTCATACTGTCCAAGATGTTTAGGCATTTGGTAATTATTGAAACTAATAATCTAGAAAATCTTATACTGTAATCATTATCAGTATATTCTGTGGTTATGCTGTCTGGAAGAAGCTAATGTCAGGTTCATTATTGAACTGGATTCTTGAAATTTATCTTTATACAGATAGTAGAAAAACAACCATAATTTGAAACAATTTTCCCAACTCTATTATTCGGGGCTTAGTTTACCCATAGCGATTATTATAATACCTTAGATTAGTGAAAGCATAATGTTTTTACTAGCTGCAGAATATTTTATACTACTACATAGGTTACTGTTTTGGAATACAATGGGGAAAACGCTTAAGGTAGTGATGCAAATCTTTTTTCCCTCTTTAACTAGAACTTATTAATGATGGCAGTTCTCTTACGTCTTCAATATATCATGCAATGCACAAAACCAGGGAATCTTGTCTTAGAAACTAAAGAAGTTAATTCAAAATTGTTTATAAAGTTTATTTGAAATAGTTGAGAGAGGGAGTTAGGAGAATCTTAATAAGTATAGAGCGCTGACGGCATTAAACTAGGATGCTACTTAGTGTCTTTGCTAACTATGGTGCATTGTGCAAATTAATTAAAGCAAGAAGCCTTGGGCCCCTTACCAAGGTCAGTCTCCTAATAAGAGTGTGAGCCTATCTCAAACTGGCAGAAACTGGTCCTGCAGATGGAAAAGGGCCAAGGAGCAACTGAGTCTGCGCAGAGACAAGAGGTCAAGGAGCGGTGACGAGGAAGAGTCATCAATCTTCATCCCCACAACCCCTGACGACCACCACCAGGAGACACTGCACAAGTGCGGATGGGAGGAGTTTATGGAAATAACTCCTTGGAACTAATTTTAATATGAAGCGGGGACAGGTTATGAATATGTATAGGCGTAGTGTGAAACTTCATGCATATGTAACTCTTTGCTGCATATAACCAAAGCAAGTTGCCACATCAGGTGCGCATGACTTTGGAGGGACTACCCCCCCCCGTGGTGCTTCCCAGTGATAAATAAACATACCTACTTTACAATCTTACTGATTGTGGAGTCTGTTTTACACAAGTCAGTTTGGTGAGCCAGCCAGGAGACACTGCTCAGCTGCAGGATCAACTGTGGAGCAGACGCCCTTAAGTGCACCCTGAGTATTTTCCTCAAAGCAGCCTCTGCTCTCAGCTGCTCACTGCGGGAGCAGACAGACCTCCTGAAGCCACGGACAAACGGTATGTTTTACAGTACAGGAAGGGCCTGTAAGTTGTACGCGTGGCCGGGGTAGCTGGTAAATCGCGCAGAGACGTCTGGCATGAAGCATAGTCCCCATATGGGAGGAGAGCGCATGACAGCACATGACAGACCGAAAAGAAGTGCTGTTTTATCCAAGTGTTGAGTGGTGGTGCCCAATATACGGTCCCAACGGTGCACCTTGTAATCCTATTTTGTTCCTAAATGTTTTGAGTGTGACAAGGAGGAAGGTGGGAGCATTATCTAGATAACAGTTTAGAAGTTTTGGTATATTCACAGTGGTGTTTGGTCAGTTTCCCATGTATTGGGGAGGGGGACTGACTGATTATCAGAGCGGTAGAACGGAGAGTCACTTCTTTGATAGTTTGGGCTTGAGCCCTGGAAATTTTGGTAAGAAGGGGGAGAGCGAATTTATTTAAGACCCCCATATTGACTGATACGCAGGAGTAATTCCTTGCTTTGTGTGTGCTTACTAACAAAGTGCATGAGAAAAATTGGCATTCGGCTTGAAATTCGGTCCTGTTGAAATGCCACCTTTTTCACAAAATTTACATTTTTTGTCTAGAAGACGAAAGCCTGAGTGCTTCAGGTGTTTTCCCAAAGTCTTGTGGATTTATGATTGGAACGGGGCTCCAATTGTGGTTTAACGGGGTCAGCAGCTAAACACAACACAGCCATTCACTCACCCTCCCCCCTCCCTCTCTGCGATGGGGGAGAGAAATGGGAAAGTGAAGCCTGTCAGTTGAGATAAAGACAGTTTATTAAGGAAGAAAAATGCTAATAACATAATAACAATAATGATGATAATAGTACTACTGCTAATAATGTGTACAAAACAAGTGATGCACAATGCAATTGCTTACCACCTGCTGACCAATGCCCAGCCTAACCCCGAGCAGTCCACCCCACCCCAGCTAGCCACCCCTATATATTGTTTAGCATGACGTCAGATGGTATGGAATACCCCTTTGGCCAGTTTGGGTCACCTGTCCTCGGTCTGTCCCCTCCCAGCTCTTACTGCACCCCCAGCCTGCCCGTTGGCAGGACGGAGCAAGAAGCTGAGACGTCCCTGGCTTGGTGTAAGCACTGCTCTGCAACAATTAAAACATCAGCATGTTATCCGCACTCTTCTCATCCGAAGCCAAAACATAACACCCTACCAGCTACTAGGAAGAAAATTAACTCTGTCCTAACTGAAACCAGGCAGGACATCTATCCACCCCTTATTCCATACCATTTACGTCATGCTCAGGTTACACTCTTTCCCATACATTCTAATTAATCACCATTTTCATCTAGGTTTTATAGTGATCATGGTAGTGATGACATAGAGTATTATACATGTATAACAATTAACATGATACAATTCAACTCATGGGCTATTCTCACCCAGTATTAAATCCCCTTGAGGTACACAGTGGACCTCTCTGTTCTTTTGCATTACCCACCAAGTGCATCCAGGTCCCTGAGCAAAAACAATCCTACGGATGGGCTTGCCTTTTCCTGAGGCAGGAGTAGCCCAGACTGTCTTACCCAGCATGTTCCTTACATACACTACAGGAACTTTATCCCCTTCTACAGTACATAACAGGTTTGATTGAGCAGGTCCAGCTCGGTTGGCAGATCCCCTAGTATTGACTAACCAGGTGGCCTTTGCCAAATGCGTATCCCAATTTTTGAATGTCCCAGCACCCATTGCTTTCAACAATTTGTCTTTAACAATCCATTGTATTGCTTGACTTTCCCGGAGGCTGGTGCATGATAGGGGATGTGATACACCCACTCAATACCATGCTCTTTGGCCCAAGCGTCTTTAAGGTTGTTTCAGAAATGAGTCCCATTGTCTGACTATTCTTTCTGGGGTGCCATGTCGCCATAAGACTTGCTTTTCAAGGCCCAGGATAGTGTTCCGGGCAGTGGCATGGGGCACAGGATATGTTTCCAGCCATCTGGTGGTTACTTCCACCATTGTAAGTACATGGCACTTGCTGTTGTGAGTTTGAGGGAGTGTGATGTAATCTGCCAGGCCTCTCCATATTTATATTTCAGCCATCGTCCTCCATACCAAAGAGGCTTTGACCGTTTGGCTTGCTTGATTGCAGCACATGTTTCACAGTCATGAATAACCTGTGCTATGGCATCCATGGTCAGGTCCACCCCTCGATCACGAGCCCATCTGTATGTTGCATCTCTGCCTTGATGACTTGAGGTGTCATGGGCCCATCGAGCTATAAATAATTCACCCTTATGTTGCCAGTCCAGGTCCACCTGAGCCACTTCAGTCTTAGCAGCCTGATCCACCTGCTGGTTGTTTTGATGTTCTTCAGTAGCCCGATTCTTGGGCACATGAGCATCTACGCAGCGTACCTTTACAACCAGGTTCTCCACCCGGGCATCAATTTCCTTGCCACAATGCAGCAGCCCAGATGGGTTTGCCTCTGCGCTGCCAGTTGTTTTGCTTCCATTGCTGTAACCACCCCCACAGGGCATTTGCTACCATCCATGAATCAGTGTAGAGACAGAGAACTGGCCACTTTTCTCGTTCAGCAATGTCTAAAGCCAGCTGAATGGCCTTCACTTCTGCAAACTGACTCGATTCACCTTCTCCCTCAGCAGCTTCTGCAACTCATCGTGTAGGACTCCATACAGCAGCCTTCCATCTCCGATGCTTTCCCACAATACAACAGGACCCATCAGTGAACAGGGCATATTTCTTCTCATTCTCTGGTAGCTTGTTGTACGGTGGGCCTTCTTCAGCATGGACCACCTCCTCCTCTGATGATATCCCCAAGTATTTGCCTTCTGGCCAGTCCACAATCACTTCCAAGATTCCTGGGCGACTGGGGTTTCCTATTTGAGCCTGCTGAGTAATCAGTGCAACCCACTTGCTCCATGTACCATCAGTTGCATGATGTGTAGAGGGGACCCTTCCTTTGAACATCCAGCCTAGTACTGGCAGTTGGGGTGCCAGGAGGAGCTGCGCTTCAGTACAGACCACCTCTGAAGCAGATCGAACTCCTTCATATGCTGCCAATATCTCCTTTTCAGGTGGAGTGTAGCGGGCCTCAGATCCTCTGTATCCCCAACTCCAAAACCCCAGGGGTCAACCTCAAGTTTCCCCAGACTCTTTCTGCCAGAGGCTCCAGGTGGGGCCATTCTCCCTGGCTTCGGTATAGAGCACATTCTTTACTTCTGGTCCTGTTCAGAGTGGCCCAAGGGCTACTGCATGAACTATTTCCTGCTTGATTTGTTCAAAGGCTTGTCTTTGCTCAGGGCCCCATTCAAACTCATTCTTCTTACGGGTTACTTGGTAGAGCGGGTTTACAATCAGACTGTAATTTGGAATGTACATTCTCCAAAACCCCACAACACCTAGGAAAGTTTGTGTTTCTTTTTTGCTAGTTGGTGGAGACATAGCTGTTATTTTGTTGATCACATCCATTGGGATTTGATGACGTCCATCTTGTCATTTTATTCCTAAAAACTGGATCTCTCGTGCAGGTCCTTTGACTTTATTTTGTTTTATGGCAAAACCGGCCTTCAGAAGGATTTGGTCTATTTTCTTCCCTTTCTCAAAACTTCCTCTGCTGTGTCACCCCACACAAAGATGTCATTGATGTACTGCAGGTGTTCAGGAGTTTCCCCCTGCTCTAGCGCAGACTGGATCAGTCCATGGCAAATGGTAGGGCTGTGTTTCCACCCCCTGGGGCATTCAATTCCATGTATATTGAACTCCCCTCCAAGTGAAAGCAAACTGTGGCCTGCACTCTGCTGCTAGAGGGATGGAGAAAAATGCATTAGCGATATCAATTGTGGCATATCACTTGGCTGCCTTTGATTCCAGTTCGTACTGGAGTTCTAGCATGTCTGGCACTGCAGCACTCAGTGGTGGCGTGACTTAGTTGTGTGCGCGGTTCTGCTTCTCTCAGCTTGAGCTTCCTACCAGCTCCGGTGCGCCTATTTCCAGCAACTTTCTGTACGAGCTTCTTTGAGCGTTTTGCTGAGTTTGGCTGAACCTATCTTCATGAGGCGATTAATGTCCCTGTACCTGTCCTGGTCTCCGTTCTGCTAGCCTGTCCCTATTCATTCCTTTTTCCCACTTCTTTATTGATGACATAACTTCATTATCTCGTGTTGCATTTCCATGTTGAGGACAGGCTCCCCTCTTATACCCTTGCCCCACAGCAGTCCTTTTCAAAAACAAGTTTTCATTGGTCAAACAGCTTTGCCTGGCAACAGCAAACACCCAGCAACTTCCATGCCTTAAGGGCTGGAGAATAAGCAACCCAAGAAGGTAAGGTGTCTCCTGAATCACCCTTCTTTATTCCCTCTAAACTCTTTTACATTCCTGATGGCCTCATCATTAAGAGTCTGATGTTATCACCAACCATGGGGCTTGTCGACCCCCATGGCCACACTCCCACATCTCCCCCTTCTTTATTAATATCAACCATCTTCTTGACATGAATTACCACTCCATATATCACAGAATGGTATTATATTTATTAATAACCTCACAAGGAGGAGCGTGCACTGTAATTAATGCTAGTTGCTGTATATATGTAGATCAAATGGGACGAATTTGACTGATCTCAAAAATATTTAAGAAAAAAACAACATGGCCCTACATAGAGTTGCTCAAGATGACACTTCCTGAGGATTTAGAAACATTTGGGAGAGACTAACTTCGTGGTTACCTGCATAGAATTGACTCAAACAACTATTTGTTGATATCATAATAATAATGGCATTGTATATCTGTCATTCCCCGTGACATCCGAAGAAGAATATTGTACC